GGCAGTCAGCCGCTACATAAGTTCTTCCGCTGGTTTGGAGTGCCATCTGCACTCGCGCTCTAACGTCCGGTGAAGCTGTAAAGGCCAGCTGCGGCCAACAGCATTAGAGTAATAAAAAATAGACATATAGTCCCAAACTAAGCAGAAAGCAGAACTTATGTTATGGGTACTAGATATCTTATAAAAATACTCAAATATAAACTCAAATTTACTTAGAAAATATCTAGTCTCTATTGACAGCCTCGGTGGTGTATGTAGTGGTGTAGCATACCGGTTTACTATCCAATGGTCGCGGATTCAATAACTCGCACGGTACAAACATTTGTATTCATGAGTATGATTGATCGGTCTGGGTATGATCTATGTATAATATTTATTTATTTACAAAAAAAAAATATCCACATAATTATCTGAGTTGTCTAGTACCCATAACACAAGCTATGCTTAGCTTGGGACTAGATGGCGTTGTGTAAATTGTCCTGAGATATTATTATTATTATTATTATCGACTCATACGCGTCCTGTGGGTAATCGAACCTGTGGCCATCAGATGTAAATCAGTGTGTTAAACTGTTAAATAACCGAGGCCATCATTATGCAATAGTGTTGCGTGAATACGTAGTTGATTTATATTTAATCAATGATACTATATATTAGTGTCAATTCAATAAATTCTCCAATAATTTCACAACTGACGTGTGTGAAATTTCTATATAAATTTCGTAAATTAACAAAGTTACCGAGACTAGGACGAGACAGCAAATATTCTGGTACTATATTACCGCATGTTATATATTTAGTGGTGTTGGAATGTGTTATAATTGAACCATTACGATATTGAAGACCCTCGGGAGCAAACATTACTGGTTATCTCTCTCAGTGGGTCGATCAACCGATTTCGATTCCATTGGAATTCCTGGAACTTCCATTTATGATGATACTAGCTATACCCGCGGTTTCACCTGCATAAAATTTATAGCCTATGTGTTATACTGATGTATAAGATATATTATTGTAAAGTGACTTCAAAATTCGGTCAGCAGTTTTTGCGTAAAAGTGTAACAAACATCCATCTATCCATCTATCTATCTATAGTATTACAAAAGTTAGTGAGTTTAGTACTTTTCACGTTTGTAATACTAGTAAAGATCTATTTCATCTGTATTATACATAATATATACATTCAATTATTTTTATATAACTGGTAATTTTGTTTGCTCATTAGTTTCTTACTCATTCTTCTTCTGATGAGTCTTCGTTCCCAATGAGTTGTAGAATAAAAAACCTAACCTAAATGACTATTCAAAAGTGCTTAAATTCGTTTATTAAAATATATATTATTCCTATTCTATTCTAAATTTAGTCTATATGGTCAATGCAAGAGGCATGACGTTTTAGTGCTCTGGAATAGCACCACATGAGATGCCACAAGTGTCATGGTAATATGTTCATAGTGCTGTTCATGTATATAGGTGACGGTTATGGGTTTGTCATCAGGAGGCCGTCTGTCTGTGAGTTTTTGTAAAGTAACTTTATCTCACTTAATACTGCCACCAAGTAGCTTGGTGGGCTATTACAGAAAGGTGTATTGTCGAAACAAATTTCTCTGTCCAATTATACCTATATTTATATAACGACTGTCTGTTGCCAAAATAAAGAGAAAAAAAAGAAATAAATTCTGTCCATGTATCAACCAACATGAGAAGCTTATTAAACTTACAGAATGATACCGAGCCTCGTCTTATTATAAAACTATTCACATAAAAGTGCATATGTAACAGCAAATGACAACATATGTTAGCAAAAATATGTGCAGTTTACCATGATAGATATTATATGTAAAGAAATGGTATTGTTGGTGTGGAGCATGCATACGAGTAGAGCATGCAAATAATGCGATTATATACAAGGGTAACTGAAAAGATATTGCGTAAATATGGTATCAAGGAAAATGTAGTGGAAATATAAAATCCTGTTCCGATCATTCAAGTGTGCCGACAGAATGATTGTCGTGCGATTGTGTAAGCAGATTTATAAGGGTGAAGGAAAAGTAATTGCATTAGGGACGACCGGTTGACTACATTGCGTTTACAATCGTGCAATTTCAATAATAAATTATACTCTCAACTAATACTTTAAACAGCGTATTAAACAGGTTGAAATGCAGATTGTTGTGAAATATTTATTTACATGTAAATAAATATTGTATTGTTCCAATTATTATTATTGTCAGAAATACACCGCTCTTATTTCTCGCCGTTCACAGCCCACATGATGCCAGCAGTGTGTGCTAGAGATGACATAATACTTCCTTCTCTTTTTCACATATACTACAGTCATGATATGATTTTTTGTGTTAATTTCGTACTACTAATAAAACTACAATCAGCATTTATATCAATATATATAAATCGGTCTCTATTTCTCTCAGTTACGTCAGAACATGAAAGCTACTGACCCGAATTAATTTATATTGTTTTGTTTGTTATCGGTGAAGTTTCTTATAGAATGAAAAATTAGAAATTTTCAAAAAACGTAATGACTATTTTGACCTCTATATACGAGTATATGAACAAACATATTACACGACTTTTATGCTAGAAGTATAATATATTATATTTTAGTAGTTAGAGGCAGTATCATTGTTGACTTCGAGGTGAGCCTAATATTGCAGATACACACAGTTCGGTATATTTAAATCTAATATGGCAAAGAGCGAGCCTACCGCCCATTCTCAGATTAATGCTCTGCAGATGCAGAATGCAGATTAATGATAGTAATATACTAATAACTTTATTTGGTCACATATTTGAAAGTATTTGTATAATCTTCTGATTTTGATTCACCAGTATATACAATGAGATAGTTTTCAATAATACACATTCTGGACTTTAGTCATAAAAATGTGACAAACAAATTAATACACTTTCGTATTTATAATATCAATATGGATATATTTATTAATAACTAACTAATTCTAATGTGTCCTTTTGTATCAACTTGTACAATATTATGCATAGCATATTGAATATTGAATATGAATTGAAACATCATGTATAGTGTTAAGACACCTTGACTATATACCCTCATCTATTATTTGAAAATGACAACGTATTTTGTTGCTTGTTGCCCTTACACATACGCTCTTTCACGCACGAATTGGGGCCCCTCCGATCGATTGTCTATCCAATTCAAACGGGAATCGAAATTACGACGGCCAGAGCCGAGGTTCCTAGCTAACGGTGCACCTAAGGTGCCCTCAGACTAAAGTCGTATCTGTCAAGCGAGAGTTGGCCTTCAGCCGCTTGCTCAATTGAAGTAGTTGCGACATCTATTGTATTCTATATGTTAGATATGTTCTTAGGGCTTGTATTTAAATTCAGGTTTGTTGTGTATATAGGTATATTATTATATATTGACGGCCTCGGTGGCCTAGCGGTCTTCACACCGCTTTACGTCCGATGGTCGCGGGTTCGATTCCTCGCACGGCACAAACATGTGTATTCATAAGTAAAAAAAAAATGTTATGACTATTCAAAAGTGCTTCAATGTAAGTTTATTTGAATAAATGATTTTCTATTCTATTCTATTCTATTCTATGATTGTTTGATTCGGTCTGGGTATTTTCTATGTATAATATGTATTTACGAAAAAAAAAATTATCTATGTCAAATACATAGATGATTTTTTTTTCGTTAATATTAGTTATCTTGTACCCATAATACAAGCTTTAGCTAGCTTAACTTGGGTCTAGATGGCGCTGTGTGAATTGTCTTGAGTTTATTATTATTATAAAAGTAATTGCAGACATAAATAGTATAAAATAACAATGAAGAGCACAACAAATAATCAGTACGTCTGTAGAAGAAGCCATTTTGTTGTCTTTATTTTCCCGCGCAAACGTTATGCGCCACAGATGCACAATATTGCACGGCGCGCAGCCGCAGTAGGATGACGAGCGCGTTATAGCTGTATGCGATGTTAGTATCAGTATGTAATATTATATTATCTGTGGTATCAGTAATAACACTATATCTATGATAATATACTATCAACAAAAGCATATCGTTTGTACTCTGCGATCGTTTAGGGAGCACCAGCACAGTCTTTGTTCAGTAAATGGCCTATATAATGTATCGTCAGATAAGTTATTGGAGAATTTAATGTTTATCCCAACATTATGTTAGGGGAGATAGTGTAACAATATTTACGATAAAAGTAACATTTATCCTGGATGAAAGATACTAATATTATTCCGGATATATTAATGTTCGTAATGCGATGATAAAAGCAAAGTGTAAGAAAATGACAATCCTTCTAATGTACACAGATTAATCATCACTAGACTTCATGATCATCACAAATATATTATTATATTGTTTAAGGAAAGAGATGACGATTGTAATATTTATAATAATACTATATGGGTGTCAGATATAGGCGTGAAGATAGGGTTTGTATGGCGTGTGTTGAGTAGAGTGAGAGAGTAAGGCTCTCTTATGGAAAGCTGTTTTATTTTGTAAAATACCAAAACCGAACGGTCAACTTTATGTCGACCAAATTGCATGTGTCTTATCTAACTGCAAGGAACATATTACTTATCCTATTGGTACAGTTCACATATACCATATATAAATATATAATAGAGTGCGGGCGGGCGGCCGCGAGTGCCCCGGATTGGTCGGCCTGTTCCTTGAGTGGTGGCATTGTTTGTAAGGATTGCCACAATTTTTCCCTAAAGCCGTTGGCTCTAGCTGGCCTTCGCCTTAACAGCTATATCGGATAAAAATAGGGGCAAATGCAGATGCTTTCGTAATAAGTGGTTGATAAAAAAAATAAGTATGGCTATTGAAAAGTGCATAAATACAAATTGCGTCGTGCGAGGAACGAATCCGTGACCATGGAAAATAAGGCAGTATGCTAAACCGCTAGACCACTGAGGTCGTCATAATATAACATTTGCATTATGGGTGGTTTATTCAGATTTTTTTTTCTAACAGTGTACGTGTTCCTTGGTGAACATATCGCTCTGGTAGACTTCGTGAACTTGCTCCAGCGGCGAGGACTCCTCAAGAACGGGGAGTACGCTGTGGTCGCCGTGGATGATGAGATCTACGACCCGAGTACTGCAGCCATCACACATGCTGGTACGTACATGGTTATAATAATAATAATCATATATATAATCACATAAAATAACAAAGCAAACGTTTTTCTAATTTAATTTATCTGAGACAACCAAGTGACATATTTAAGTTGCCTATACAATATATTTATGTACGTATACAGCCATACATACATAAAAAAATTGCTGAATGTAATATTTGGCAATAGAAATTAAATTACAATTACAGGCAGAAGCAGCGCAATTGTTGCAAACTCTCCCAATTGTTATCTTATCTACAGGTGTCATTCCGACATCCTTATACACTAGCCTCAAGATATTATAAATTCATCCACTTCCCTTAATACTCCTTCAAATAGTTCGTGAATTGTTGTTTTCTATTAAATAATCTTATTCAGCATTATAATTTCTTATATATATATTATATATATATATATATATATATTGTAAAACATCTATTATAATGAAATAAATTTATTATTATTATTATATGAATATATACCACTCCATCAAAACCAAAAGAGTAAGTAGCAAATCAATCAACAAGCTTGTGTTATAGGTGCCAGACAATTGATAGAAATACTTAGATATATATTTTTTGTAAATGTATACATATTATACAGATAGAAAACACCCAGACTGATACAAACAATCATACTCATGAATACAAATGTATGCACCGTACGAGGAATAGAACGTGCGACCATCGGAAGTAAAGTTGTGTGCTAGACCATCGAGGCCGTCAAAATCGCCATCAAACTGTCCGTGGAACAAACAAAGTGATATCTTGTAAGCTATTTATATGAATAGCATACGTAAAGACCAATTTCCTTCTTAATACGACCAGTATGTTTGCCATTCCAAGTTATATAAAAGCCTTATAAAATTAAGTAAATAAATTATCTTTTATATATAGATGTTTTTTTACATCAGTAACCCAATTGACGGACGGACAGGCTAATGGAAGCGGTCATTAGTTGTTGACTAACAAACAACCTTATATAATTTATGTATATTTGATATTTACGTAATCTGTACAAAGGAAAAATATCATATAATTCCTGTCGTTCTTTGAACGATATGAGGTTTTATGATAATATTATATGTATAATAAAGTCACGTTCATTTACTTTGTCTATATATAACCTACATTAAATATTTTTTAAGAGAAAATATTTAATTCAATATTGCTACTCTTTTAGAGAGAGCTATTTTTTTATTTAAAGTGAACAGACATAAATATCTTTATTCATGTAGGTCTATTACAGACTCTTATGATATGTCAAATCTACCGTCGGTTCGGAATGATTTCGAGATGAGAAGAACTGACATAAAACTCAGCTCGTATTCTTTTCAAATAAATGTTATACAATAATACAGATTCATTTTTAAATTCATATTTGGGAGAATAGAGTGACCACCAACAGATGTCATTGCAAAAGCAAATAATCTAATTAGTGTTCGTAACCTAAACAGACCTGTCCCCTCAAGCAACACCCTTTTACGAGTATGACGGATGAGCCAGCCATCATTGCACTCAACCATATTGAAGGAGCACATCAACCTGACCCACCACGCCACATGTTTGAACTTTATAGCGAGCATGACTGTTTCAACTTATTGCACAACGTCATTTATAGTATTTACAGCATAGGTTGTATCAATCACATTTTTCCCCATTACAATATTTATATTACAACATGTTATTAATAAGTTTATTTGATGTTTAATACATTGATAATTAAGCCAATGGGAAAGTTATATGTCCCATAACAAAAGTTAAAATTGTAATTAAGACCACGCATTGCAGTCATTCAAGTAGTCGTTTATTTTATAATAAGATTTAGAGCAAAGTGTATTTTTACATGTATCTTAAATTTCCCTTCATTTAAATATAAAACATTATCTGGCAATTTATTGTAAAAACGTATACAATGTCCCATGAAAGATGGACTTACTTTTTTTAGAAGAAAACTAGGAATATTTAATTTTTTTTTATTCCTTGTATGAAAAGTTTGTAATACAATCTTTAGAAACTTCTTTTTTTAAGTCAGTCGAGATCACGATGTGCCTATCTAGAATGATAAAAAAACCTGTTTTAATATGATGAAAGTTTTTGTACCCTTCTCAGCACTTGCTACCGAGGACTATTGGCAGTTTTTGCTGTTCAAAAGTTGGTGACTTTGTTTATTGATTAGCTATTCCTATATATTCATTTATTGTAACACTTCAGATTCAGATTTTTTTTATACAAGCCGGCCTCGGTGGTCCGTCGGTTTAGCATACCGCTTTACTCCCGATGGTCTCGAGTTCGAATCTTCGTACGTTACAAACATTTGTATGTATTTGCAAAAAAATTCAGTATTTATTGATATAAATAATATATAAAATATATTTTTTTTTGCATATGCATAACATAAGCTCTGCTTACCGTGGGATTAGGCGCTGTGTTAATTGTCGATTAATTATTATTATTATTATGGTGGCAATCAAACAAATGGTCCATCTAATGGTAACCAGTTACTGTAGCCTTTCTAATGGATTCATTGAGGAGACGAGATAAAATTTATAATTTGCATTTATTTCAGACACTAGACAATTATTACAATACACAAAGAGAGATATATAGAGGACAGTTCGTCTTGTCTATGTCATATATCGAACGGCCTCGGTGGTTTAGCGGTATAGGGCACCGCTGTACTTCCGATAGTTGCGGGTTTGATTCCTCGCATGGTACAAACATTTGTATTCATGAGTACGATTGTTCGTATGAACCCAGATGGCTCGCTGTAGGTACAACTTGGTAAAATAGGGTGTCGCATCAAGGGAAGCTTGCGACTGCGGAGCACCATCCCAGACAATGGTCCATCTATTGTCCTGTCCTTTGTGCCTATCATCCTGCACAGAAGAAGATCTAAAAAATGCGATAGAGTGCGCAAAAGTCGTCGCTATATTCTGGGAAATGTACATATAATTGCCATTGAAACGGAAGAAAAAGAATTGTTCATATCGTTTTGGGTGTTTTCTATATATATTATGTATGTATTTATATCAGTTGTCTAGTACTCATAACACAAGTTCTGCTTAGTCTCGGTACTATAAGAGCTGTATAACATTGTGTGACTACAGATAACATAATATTACATAGTGTGACCGTGTGACGAGTACAAAGTTAGAAGGCTTATAATATTATCGTACAAACTTAGACAATCTTGTGAAGGTCGTCTAAGAATATAAAGATAAATTCGTTATGTGAAGGCGTATAATAAGATTGTTTAGATTAGCATTTCACAAACATTTCAGCACATCTAATCAAGGCTTCTTCCACAAAATGTACATGTACTGCGTAATACTGCGGCGCTAAAAAGAAAAAATCAAAAATAATGCCACTATGCGAATTAGTCTGCCTTATTCGACGTTCCAAATGAATAATAATATTAAGTAATTTTATTTTAATTGGTAATAATATATTATTTGTAGGCCTCTGACCACTCCATCTGGGATAAATATCGTGATGCTACAATACTGTAATACAATAATATTAATTTATATTTAGTCTACACTAATATTAGAAATAGAAAAACAAGTGTATCTACATACAGCCAAGTGAAAAGGTATCAAATATCTTTTATCTTTACACAACAAAATTAACAAAAAGGACAATATGGAAAAGAAAAAGTTAGTATAAACATAGATAAGATATCAATTAGTAATAAGATAAGTGGAACTCTATATTGAGCTCTTTAAAAGTGAGACTGTAAAATCATCTCTATAGGTTTTCCTTCATTTAATTCTACACTAACCATCTTGCTTTGTAAACTGAATTTCAGTATAAAGAGTAAATAAGAGAGTAAGTAAGAGAACATGGTATGATACCTTAGGTTTTAAGAAATAAAAACACTTTTTAAAGAATCTTAACAAAAGGCAACCTTATTGCTAAAAGTTATCTCTTATACATTCTGTTTTAAAATAAACTATTTCTATTTTGTACACAGATCATTTGGGCCAGAACAGCACTAATGACATCCTGGCGTTTCGTGCTGTTCTCAAGCTGACACCATCGTTTCCTACTAACCCACATTACTCGTGAGTAATCTGTCTCTTTCTATCTTACTGTATTTTATCGGGATGACAGAACAAGCCTGTATTTATTTTAACGAATTATTCTCTATATAACTATTATCCGCAGGCGTTTATAGCTTTACCGAGTTAAATAGAGTAAGGTGGTAAGTAAACTTCAAATTCGTGGATTTATGGAGCGGCCGATGACTTTTGCCTGATAGATACGACTTCAGCCTGAGGGTACCACTAGATGGAGTTTGAGACTTTGGCCCAGACCATCGTATAAGCCGAGATTGCTGTTGGATACGAGGGGGGATCGACCGGAAGAAAAAGCTAGTGTCAGTAGTCCTCTTTTGTCGGCAGAATGTTCTAACTTCTTTTGCATAAGATGTATGTTTCTTCGTTAATATGTATGAAATTTCATACTAATGCAAAAGTCTGTTTGTCACTTTTTCAAGCTTATACATATCAATTTTAATTATTTTTGATAGAGGTGAGTGATCTTTGCGAAAGACCTTTTGTGCGGGAAGTGGCAGTTTAAGGTTTTACTTATTTTAATAGGGGACAGAAAGTTTGTTTGGGGAATTATTGCTTAAGAAGGATATTAAATTCTGCACAAAAAGTATTGACTAATTTTCTTAAACATAATTGCAGGATACAACAAGTCTATAACAGTACCTAAAAATTATATACATTATTTATTTATTGTAAAAAAATGTTTTGTTAAAATTACTTAGAAATAAGTTTGAACTTATTATATTTTATGTCATAAACAAATTTATTATCTATCTTAAAAGATATATATCCTATTAATATATTTTTCTCTAAATTGTTAAGAAAACTTCCTTATCTATACGTTTGGAAGTAAACATGTTTACGATATTTTAAATGTGTCTAGGGTTGTCTAACTATCAAGTACAGAATGGTTTATTAGATCTAGTAGCCCCTTGGCAACAATGTATCTGCCAGGGCAATATCCACACATCTATTCCCTGGACAACCATATGGTTAATATTTGCTAGCTTTGAAATACTACCTCAATGTGTTTCTAAAATATCATCCTGATCCATTCATCCGGATGAATGACGGTCCTCCATCGTGGATTTTTCTAGAAATTTCTTAACTCCACATTGTAGAATCACCTTCCAGAAATGGTATTTCCGAACCGATACGATATTGAAACATTCAGAAAAGAGTTTATTCCTTCTTAAAACGCAGGCAACGCATTTGCAATTCCCCTGGTATTGTAGGTGCCTATAAGCGGCAGTAATCACTTAGCTTCATGTGAGCCGCAAGTCTGTTGGTCTCCTATGCTATAAAAAAAAATATGAGGTCTAATGCGTTTTGTTATTTCACGAAAGTTTCTACTTTATACCGTGCTATAGCATTGCACCGCATTATTTATAACTTACTGCACTACTCGTAGATTTTATGGAGTATATATTTGCGTTATATTTTACAAACCTAATAATAGAAATTGTCAACCCTATTTCATTTAGTTTTTTGCACATACATATACATTGGATATCGAGTTCACACAACATTCTAATACACCTTCAGGAAACATTAACGATATTTACGGCGAAATAAATGTCGGATATATTCCATTTGATTGATTTCAATAGACTCGTTCTTTATAAACAGTAACATGAATATGTATGTACGTTATGATGCTGTTGTAATCGTAGCGTATTAGTAAACAGATCGAAATTAATATATAGTCTTTCAATTCTATATGAAAAAATAGATTTCTGTATGTTTACTTACTACTTCGTGAAGAAGTAAGTAAAAAATTCCTTGTATGTTAATTACAATTATAAATTTATTAGCTGTGCCCACGGTTTCTCTCGCGTGAAATTTATAATCTATATGTTATTCTGATGTTTAAGCTACATTACTGTAAAGTTTCATGAAAATCCGTTCAGTAGTTTTTGCATCAAAGAGTAACAAATATCCATCCATACTCACAAACAAATTATAAATTACAAATTTTCAAAATAACCTACTTCTATCTGTGTAACTAATAGAGAATAACTAGTTTTGCTTATGATTTGCTTCGTGTGACTTTTTTGATCATGTTCAGATATGTTCTTCTCTCTATTGGTTTTAGGTTTATTTTTGATTTGATTATTACGTCCTATACCTACTATATTCGAGTATTATTTTTATTATTACAAATATCAAACCGATTTGTCGACCTTGTCCTTTTGGCAGTCGGTTGAGGACTGAAAGTCTATCAACGGTTGTCATCAGCTTTGCTTTGTGAGATAAAACTTTGGCTATTTCAGATAAATCACATTATCCCAGACTCATATCTGAAGGGATAACGTTGGCACTAAGCCAAATGTTTTGAAACAGTCATCAGATGAAAATATCTATATCTACATCTGTAAGGATATACATAAATTGGTGTTGTATACAAGTGCTATAGTATTTGTTTTATGGGTATGCTTTATGTATAACAATCTGTTCCCGCGACTACGTCCGAGTGGAATTTAACTTTATTTTGTCTAAAATAAAAGTAGCCTAAGTTACTCCTTATTACACTAGCTACCTGCCAAAAAAAGTCCCGTCAGAATCGGTCCAGCCATTTCAGAGATAAGCCGGAACAAACAGACAGTAGGACAGACAAAAATTGTAAAAAATGTTATTTTGGTGTATGTACTATATTTATATTCATATGCATATAGTAAAAAATGGTTTTTCAATATTACAAACAGACACTCCAATTTTATTTATATGTATAGATGACAATATTTTCTTGTAGTACGATATTATATCGACATCATTCGTAGTATTTTTTGGGTCCCTTTATTTATTATTATTATGTATAATATATAGTTATATTACTCGCAATTTATGCGCCTTATTTCTGCCCTACTTTTTCCACATTGCTTTATTTCTCTATAAATATATACAAGAATATATTTCTAAAAGATCTAAGCTATTTTTTGGCATATAATGGCATATAATAATTCCATTCATGAAGTATAAAAATAATATGGCCACTTCTGAACGGCTGCATATATTTGGCTATTCTGTTTGTGTTTTCAGTCAAAAGTGAGGAAATAGTAAAACTTTCTAATAAAATTTTAGACTACATAGAAATATACTGGCCGATTCTTGTTCAATTGTTCTCATTCTAACATTAGTTTTATATTATTTATAGAAAAAGACTAGGTATACAGAGATATGTATTGGTAAAACTATTGACATAACAGAATAGAGTATATAAAAGAATGTACAATAAGATAACTATAAATTTAAATACAAATTTAGAATAAAAAATACATTTCTGATTAGTGGCGGCGTGGTAGCGCCAGCCTCTTGTGGCGGAGTGGTGGGCCGAGTCATAGGGCTCCCTAAAATATGGTCGAGCGCAGTGATGGCTGGCTCATCCGTCATTCTCATGAACGGGTGCTGCTTGTAGGGACTGGTCTTCTCTAATCACTATGACTGATTTCCTCTTATTGTTTGACCAGTTGTTGTGTATTCAATATGTTTTCTATTTGATTATTTAATTGAATTAATGCTAATTGGTAGTTTGTATTCACACACTTAAACTTATATTGTAAAGTAAGAATAAATTTATTTAAAAGAGCAACACACAAGTTTCTTGCTCGTTCTTCTTGTGATGAAACAGCTTTCCGAATGAGCGATAGATTAAAAAAAATGTGATGACTATTCAAAAGTGCGTCAATGTAAGTTTACTTGAATAAATGATTTTCTATTCTATTCTATTCCAGATACAACAGATTTTATGATATGATATGTAAAAAAAACAGTCCATACCAAGCAATGTCCATACCACATACCAACATAATTGTAACAAGAGTATGCCTATTTGTATTTATTTGTAAGTTTCCTACGTATATCTAATAATACCTACATATTATCAAAAGATTCGACTGTGTGGTATCTCATGACTCCTTAATACCTCAAACAATCTTCTGTATTATCTTTCAAGAGTTTTCAAACAGGTAGGACACTGGCTACTCTTATCCCGGTCAATAAATTTGACCCGGACGTAAAATTAAGTGGGTTGTAAATAAGTCTAGTATATAGTGACTATAATGATATTTTTAATAAACAGCCTTAATCGCTTTCAGATTGCTCTGCCAAATGATCAGGGAGTTGTCTGCAGCGCCGCCATTCTGCGTGCCCAATTACCACAAACTCTTCGAAGATGCTTCGGTAAGTGATATTTCACGCGAATTCGAATTAAAAATTCAAATCATTTATTCTTTCAGGTTTAGTACAGACATTGTCATAAGTGTAAAAGTCATAAGTGTATGTATGTCTCATAGTACAATATACCCTAAAGAAATGATATTTTTTTAGAGTAGATTGTACTGTAATACCCCTAAAGCAATAGGTAATAAATACAGCCAGGAACACAAATCTTAAATGAGAAAGACAATAAACAAACTAAAATATTTTTTTAAAAATATAATCGAAAAGATATTTAACTTTGATCATAAATGTTTTATATTGTATTATCATATTGGTTAAATATAATATAATGAAAAACGAAGTAAACGTGTACTTCTATTGTTTTCCTAATATAAAAAATATATATCTGTAAGAGTGCTTTCACTAAAATCGGGAAATATCACTATATATTAGAAAATGACTTTGATGTTTGATAATACTTCTGACTGCCTCATCTGGGATTAGAATCGTGAAGGTTATGCTTAGTTTTGAAGTTGTATTGAACATGGATATATTTGATAATTTGATAGGTTTCCTATGATTTTATGTTGGATTGGATTAGATAAAAAACATATAAACAATGTGTTTTACATAATATGGCAGGCACACAGAAGAGAGCGACACTAAGCGGTACAAAAATGAACTAAAGTGATTGTTGCCAGTTTCAATAGCCCATATTTGGATCGTAATAAACAGAGCATACTCTTACCGTTGTCTCACTGATTAATTAGTATTTTTATTAGTGTTTCTAAAGAAATATAAATTGTCATAATTTTTGTATATTAATTTTATAATGGTCTAAACAAAAGTACTAATGTTTATACTCAAAGTTTGTATTTACTTCTCTTCTTGACAATCCATAAAACAAAATCTCGGATCTCCGTGTATTATTATTTTTTTAATTTTTATATAAAATTTTTTTTATTATTATAATTATTTAAATTTTTTTATTTAGGTTTACAAATGTTACTTACAAAAGTTATATAAAAAATCTTAAATTTACAGTATTTTTACAATATCATATTTATTATCTACTAGTAATTATATTGTTATTTGCCTATATAAGTATCAAGAATTACAACAATATAGATTAGATTGAACTTTAACATTTCGGGTCTACGGGCAGTTAACCACTAAACCACAAAGCTCTCAGCATTGTGGTCTAATAATTTACTGCTCCTTCACACTTTGTTTACAAAAAAAATATATAAATGAGGAACGGTCCTTTTACAAAATAAATTTGTTCAATAACATTAAGCTGTGAAGGTAATGTCGAAAATTACGTAGCTCCAAATTGCCACACTGTTCTTTATTTGGAACAGTAATTTCTTTATTGATTACAGCGCCTTTTATTTAGCTGTGCCGGTTATTTTCTAAATATCCTGTTTATTTTCAAATCTCGCAGGTACCGTATAATAATGTTTTGATGTCTGTATTCGATAAATATACCATTATATCCACACAAATATGTTAAGAACACGGTAAATAAAAATTCATTGGAAAATATATTATTGGAAAACCATTGTGTTTGAGAAAAAATAAACGATATCTTGCGATCTTCGTCCTTGCGTGTCCTGGCGTGAGGCCAAGGTATTCGCTACATTCAGCTTATGCTATAATACCTATGGATGTTGACAACGAATCTTATGTTTGTAACTTGTTCTTGCAAAGTGAGATTGTTAGTAAAATTATGTAATATTATGTTATCTGTGGTAAAATAATATAAATTTTTGCTAACTATATAATAATAATAACCCTGGACACACAGCGTCATCTAGTCCATAGCAGAACTTGTATTACCGACGACTGACATTGATTTTTAAATACACCCAGTATTTAAAAATCAATGTCAGTCGCGTACAACTGACAAAAATACTTACAACTTTTTTTAAATACATACATAGAAAGCACTCAGACCGATACAAACAATCTTACTTATGAATACTAATGTTGGCACCGTCCGAGGATTTGATCCAGGAACCATCGGATGTAAAGCGGTGTGCTAAACCGCTAGCTAAACCATGTGTCTACATGTATTATATATATAAACATAAAAATCTTCCTCTAAAGTATATATATAAATCTTTCTCTTGAAGAAGCTTCTAAATACATTGCGTAGTTTTAAAGATTTAAGCATACATAGGGACGGACAGACAGCGACAGCGACTTTATTTTATGTAATGATTAAGATTCATTTGTTTGTTTACTATAAAATTTTGGGATGTTTCTGTATTCTTTCCACGCGAAGATACGGCTTAGATAATCCAATTTTCGTTGGCCTGGTAGGTGTGGTTTACCAACGGAAATTGAATTATGTACCTATATATTTATGATTTATATTCCAATCTACGGAAAGTTTGTGGGAGTAAGGGAATCAAAAGTAACTACTAGTAATTACTGCAATTAACACGCATTAAGGTGGTCCGTTAGCATTTCTGCTGACTTTTTTTACTCGGTTGCTATATGTTGTAGCATGATTGTAAGATTTCTTAAATTACTAGCTGATCTGTGTAATATTATTTGGTCACATTTTCGCTGTTTCACATAATATTTTTTATTGCAGCTCGACTGCTATTGGTCGTAGCGTGATATTGTAGTTTATAGACTTTATTGATTAATGGGCTTTTCAACACTGAAAGAATTTTCAAAACGTGGTCAGTCGTAACTATCAGATCAGATATGATTAGATATCAGATATGAAAATAAATCGAACTTGCAATTTTTTACTGCTTTATAATATTAGTATAGATTGTTAAATTATTCCGATTTTCTTATTCTAACTAGTAGTTTCAGAGTTTTGCATTTTCAAATAAACACAGTTTTCATCTTTATAGGTTACTTGCTACTCGCCCCGGCTGCACCCGGGTGTACATGTATTGTATATATAAACCTTCCTCTAGAATCACTCTATCTATTAAAAAAAACCGCTTCAAAATCCGTTGCGTAGTTTTAAAGATTTAAGCATACATAGGGACAGACAGCGGCCGCGACTTTGTTTTATACTATAATAATATATTATTGACTACAGCTTATACTATATAGGGTATATAATATAAAATATCTTATTTAACTATATACTTATAATAGAGGAAAATTATACTTTGGATAATACAGTTAGTAATATTGATTTCATTCTCCTATCAGGTCCCCATAGAAGCAGCTCATCTTTACGATGCTGTGACACTTTGGGCCCGAGCTGCCACGGCTGCGATGAGGGCCGGCCTGCCACCTACAGATGGCACTGCCTTGATGAAACTTCTAAGACCTACCACCTACCGTTCAGTACAAGGTTTTGATGTAAGTACCCTATCAAATCTATCTTCTATAAACCCATATGGGTTATTAAATACCATACAGATTCATACAAATATGTTTTTATCTTAAATGAGACAGATTTTAGATTAAATATATAGTTTCTTCCAAAAAATGTTTTATTCTAAGTGAGGAAAGCCGAGAAAAATGGCGCGAATATTATTGCGCGGGAAATAGGAGTTTGAATTTGGAATGACAAGTTTGATTTAGTCTGTAAAACCACTGGGTCAGTGATCATTATGTTTTAATGTCTAGCTACATAGAAACTAGTAGCAAACCGAAAAAATAGCGCGAATATTATTGTGCGGGAAATAGCGGTTTGAATTTGGAATTACAAGTTTTATTTAGTCTGTAGTCAAACTGAGTCAGTGATCATTATGTTTTAATGTCTAGTAATGTAGAAACTAGTAAGTAACCTGTGGTTAACCTTCATTCTAATTATTTCTACGTTACTTTATATATGTAACAATGAACTTACAGTAACATGTAAATAATAATATTGAAATCTGTATTACAACTTTGATTTTTCTTTTTGCATCTGTATATTTCTCTTATATAATCTATACGAAGGCACCTATTTCAAGCTCGTACCATTTTGCTCTGTTACATTTATTCAGAAGAGAAATGTTTATTAGATAACAATTTATTATATAATTTTTAGATGGAAATTTATCAAGTAACTGCTTGAAAAATTTCCGAGGTATTTATGAGCATGTTTCCTGGTAATAATTTGCAAGCAATTACTGGTATTCCAGAGTTCAAATTAAACATAGCACTGTCGATTACGTAACAATGCAATACAGAGTAGCCATAGAGTTAATCTGTGTACAGAATGGGATCATTTATATAGGTTTTAATAAGTAGGTATTTTTTTAAGGTTAAGTACTATTGCGGAGATTATTAAAATGAAATGTATGAGCTAAAATTATTATTAATTATATATTTTATCGAATTAAGCGTTATTTTGCGGAGTTTATTTCATTATTTAATGGATTTGTATTATTTTTGTTTAATTCCGCTATTCGAGTCGAACAGTCAACACTGAGTTTCGAAACTATATCTAAGTTCTAATGGCCAGCGATGAAACACATGTCGTAATATTTGTTTTGGTTTTGATTCAAATGAAAAATCATTTAAGTACTAGTAATGAAAATTATATACAAAACAAAAAACATTCAGTAGAACATTTTAGCTGCTTAGGAATATCAAGCTTTTTGTATTAATATTTTTTCCTCTTACCAGTGTTTCTTATCTAAATATACTTATATAACTCAAAGGTAGAATCAACACACAGCCCCAACTATTCGACGGATCGGGCTGAAATTTGGCATGCAAGTAGATGTTATGACGTAGGCATCCGCTAAGAAAGGATTTTGATTAATTCTACCCCCAAGGGGATAAAATAGATGATGAAAGTTTGTATAAATCTTCTTAGATTTTCGACTGATTGAACTGAAATTAAAGATTGGAGCTACTATGATGAAGACGTTCGCTTAAATAGGATTTTGATAAAATTGGGATAATATAAGGGAATATAAGGGAAGGGAAAATAAGGGATGACGCAGGATGTAAATGTATTAGTTTGAATCTATCAGTACCTAATGGAACGAATAAATTAAGACGAATAAAATTATTTTTAGTTCTTTAGGCTATTTTTATTTTGTAAAAATAAAGTTAAATTCCACGTGGATGAAGTCGCGGGAACAGCTAGTTGAATCTATATACTGAGCCGTCGAGTTCAGTATACAGATTCAATTCAGAAGAACTGGTAAGAAACTTAACTGAAATTCTTTTTTTTAAACACTGTACACTTAGTGTAGATAGTTGTCTAATTATAATATTAAATCACAATCCCGTGTATGAACAACTATTGCCATGCACGTTTATAATGTCTTGACAAATTTTCATCGATTTTAATTACTTATTGTAAAAATTGCTGGAAATGCAGCCTTAAATATTATCATAATAAGGACTACATTGTTATGCTTCTGTACTCTGTAATTTCACTGCTATACCTCACCAAAGTAAACTGTAGGGCGACTGAAATAAGCGTGTCAGAGGCACAACGCAAACGGTTTTGTACAACGTCTTTATCAGAACAATTCGCTATATCTTTACATAATCTATACATCTATACAAATAAATAAAATTGGAGTGACTTTTTGTAATATTGAAATAATCGTTTTTTACTATATGCATATAAATACGGTATATACACCAAAATAACATTTTGTACAATTGTTGTCTGTCTGTCTGTTTGTTCCAGCTAATCTCTGAAATGGCTGGACCGATTTTGATGGGACTTATTGCCAGGTAGCTGATGCAATAAGGAGTGACATAGGCTACTTTTATTTTAGAAAAATCATTTATTTTAGAAAAATAAAGTTAAATTCCACGTGGACGAAGTCGCGTGTACAGCTAGTATAACATAAAGTAGCTTCCGCTGTTAGTTCGCTTATGCATTAAAATCCGTTGTGTAATTTAAAAGATAAATTATGCAACGACTTTATGCAGTTTTCAGGACAAATAGAATCATTCTAGATGAAGGTTTTTATGTATAATATATGCAGTTCAGGTTGCGAACACTGATTAGATTTTTTTGATTTTTTTTATATAGCATATGCTGGTGGTCACTCTATTCTCCCAAATTTGAATTTAAATGAAATAGTATTATTGTAAATATATACAACATTAAAAAAAAATACGAGCTGAGTTTCTTGTCAGTTCTTCTCATCTCGAAATCATTCCGAACTGACGGTAGATTTGACATATCATAAGAGTCTGTAATAGACCTACATGAATAAATATATTTTGAATTTGAATTTGCATCTTATAGTATAGAACAAGCCAAGATTTGTAATGCATCCGTATGAAGTCGGGACGAGTCGCTAGTAACATAGTGTATAATACAGTCACTTCTGCTGTCTGTTCCCTTAGATCTTTTAAACTACGCAAAGGATTTTAATGCAGTTCTTAGCAATAGACAGAGTGATTCAAGAGGAAGGTTTATATGTATACCCGTGCAAAGCCTAGGTTAGCTAGTTATTAATATAATATAGTCCTTAGTAACATTATCAGTTGGTTTATAAAAATAGAAGGATCTCTTTTCTCTTTATTTATTCTATTCGATTTGTAGTACAAAATAAGAAAAATATTTCATATCGTGTAAAGCAATAAGGAGATCGTGTTCTTGTTTTATATAGGAAATACAGGAACATTTGATGAAATAGTTCAGTGAATATAAACCGGTATTGATACCTAGAAATAGATAATGTTTTGATTTGTTTCCGTCTCGGCATAAAACAATATAGCTCAGGCATCTTCATGGAAGTTTATTTTAAAGATATTCGATTTATATATTGTGGCGAAATATATTACCTACTAGTAACAACTCGACTGTATTTGCAATAATTTGTTTCGTCGACCTCGTGGTCTAGCGGTCTAGGGGGTTCGATTCCTCGCACTGAACAAATATTTGTATTCATGAGTATGATTATTTGTATCGGTCTGGGTGTTTTCTATGTATAATATGTATGTATTTACTAAAAAAATATCTATGTATATGTATCAGTTATCTAGTACCCATAACACAAGCTTTAGCTATCTTAACTTGGATCTAGATGGTGCTGTGTAAATTGTAAAAAAAATCTCAATATGTAGACTGCATAAGTAATAACCGATATATAGGCTAGAATATAAATAGGTATGCTATATTAACATGAGATAAGCACTTTCCTTTACAGTTTTGTTATTCTGTCACCATAATAAATATACCTAGATTAATTTTAAAAGAATGAACAAGTAACTTAGGTTTTACAGTTTTGTAAACAGCGCAAACATTCCATGAATTGATTATTTGCACTGTCAAAAGGTACATTGTGGAACTGACTTCTGTTATACTTCTTCTTAGTCGGTACACTCTTGTCAGAGTGGTAGTGGTCAACATTTTGAATCACGATGAGTGAGGTTTTTGGTAATACGGCGCCATTCGTCGCGGACTGTAGCTTTCCGGGTACATTCGTAAACTGAGCACTTAGTTGCGGCCTTGATCTGGTCTGTCCATCTCATTGGTGATCTACCACGTGGCCTGGTGCCTTCCACTTTTCCCTGCACTACGAGACGCTCTATGGAGTCATTACCACCTCGAGATACGTGACCGAAGAAGGTCGGAATGCGTGAATGCACTGTGGTTGATAGGCGCTGTCTGATGCAGAGTTCTTTTAATATGGAATCATTTGTACGAAACTTTGTCCACGATATTCCTAGCATCCGATAACGATATTCTGTTATACAGCTCAGGCTAGTTTGGGAGTCGAGCGAAGGGTGAGATCAATAGATCTTACATTTGTACATTATTATTAGTACCTGACAATAGCCCAAACCCCCCCAATAAAATAAAATTTATAGTTTGGGAGTTAGGACTGCATCAAACTGTACACTAATGAAGGTTTAAACAAATAAATAAAAGTTACCTTATATTTACCTCATACACTTATTATTTGATTCCGTGGGGAATTAAACTTTATTTTTCTAAAATAAAAGTAGCCTATGTTACTCCTTATTTCATCAGCTACTTGCCAAAAAAAGTCCCGTCAAAATCGGTCCAGCCATTTCAGAGATTAACCGGAACAAACAGACAGTCAGAAAGATAAAATTTCTAAAAAATGTTATTTTGGTGTATGTATCGTATTTATATTCATATGTAGTAAAAAACGGTTATTTCAATATTACAAACAGACACTCCAATTTTATTTATATGTATAGATATATGTTCAACGTCTAATCAAGCATATCTTAACAACTACGCAGTTGTAAGCACGTGTTTTAAATATTTCAATTTAGCTAAATATCGTAATTTACCGCCAAAATTTCTACATTACTGATGTAGAAATTTTGGCGGTAAATTTAACTTCAAAGCAAACAGATTATATTCAATATTCATTAGGGCAAGGTACATTAACTTTTTCAAGGAAACAGATTATAAA